AGATTAAAAAATAAGACCTTTGAGAAAAAAGCTTAAAAAATTAAGATTCTTTTACTCTGGAGAGGAAAAAACTGTTGACATAGTTTAATAAGGCTTAAGTTCTTAATTGAAGCTTTTATTAAAGGTCTCCAAGTAAGAAGAAAAATGATAAACTGTTCTCCATTTTCGTTAAAGGATCTTTAACGAAAAAAGAAAGGCAATGTGTAAAGTTTAAGAACTTCTTTGGCAGGAATCGCCATGAAGTCTTACATTTTAAATCTTTTTTATTTTTAAGACACTAAAAAATTCAAATATTAAGGGATATACTAAGTGGCTTTTTAAGGTTCCATTTGGTATTTGTTTTTAAAAACTCAGGTTGGAGCAAAGATGATACAAACAACACTGAAAGTAACACTTGAGTTTTGCTTCATATCTAACAGAATTTAGCTCAAAAAATGTTTTTTGTGTATTTTGTGTAGTAAACACATGAATGCAATGCATAAAGACTGGCTTGGATGTTCTCTTTAATTTATCCTGGCAAATCAAGTGAGACTTGGACACAATTTTGTTCATCTTGAAGAATGTATAGCATTATAGGACATTTGAGGATTTTGTTTTAAATATAAAGTATTATTCTTTTGACGTTAGTAACTTCAGCAGATGGAGAGGTTCTGAGAGACTGAATGCTCTGGAATGTCTTTAGGAAATAGACCTCTCATTTCTTAAGTAGGTTGCTTCTGGAATTGATGCAACAAAGATACTAGCTGGAGTGTAATCGAGAAACTGTTCTATGAACTGACATTTATTTCAGATGCTTTCCATTGATGTTTGTGATATTTGGGAAATCCAAATGCTATTTGTATAAATTTAGTATTATGTATTTTTTTCTCTACTTCTTTCCCTAGGTACCTCCCACATTTTGTTACTGTCAAAAGCTGTTGCCCTATTACCTCACTGATGAGAAATCTTAACTGTATTCATTCAGAATGCTTTAAACTTATTCATGAACTGTATTTGTTTATGGGGGAAAAGCCCACAAATTAAATACTACCACACACCTAACAGAAAGGCTAAAATTAAAAAGAGTCACCGTACAGAGTGTTGACAAGGAGCTAGATGAACTCTCCTACCCTGCTGGTGGGAATGTCAGATGTTGCAACCACTTGGAAAAAACATTTTGGCAGTTTTTTAAAATGCTGACCGTTCATCTACCATATGATCCAACCATTCCACACGTAGTAACTTAGCCAAGACATGGAAGCATAGGCCCATACAGAGGCTTGTGAACTTGTTTACAGATGTTCGTGGCTCTGTGATCTGTAATAGCCCAAACTGGAAACAACCACAAGTCATCAGCTGATGACAGGAAAACAACTCGTGGTTTGACCATGCAATGAAATGCTCAGCAATAGAAAGGAATGAACTACTGAAACACATCACCATGTAGATTAATCTCAGACTGAGTATGCTGAGTGAAAGAAGCTAGACAAAAAAAGAGTCCTTGCCACTCAGGATTCCATTAATATAAAATTCTTAGAAATGCAAACTAATATATATTAAAAGAATGATGAGAAGTTACCTAACAGAAGTCCCTGGGGCCAAGGAGGAAAGGAGGCTAGAGGAATTATAAAGTGCCACAAGGAAATTTTGGGGAGTGATGGGTATGTTTCCTATATTAATTTGCTGATGGTTCCATGGGTGTATTCATATGTCAAAATTTACACCTACCATACGAACCAGCCATGCCACTTCTGAGTACTTGCCCAAGAGAAATGATCACATGTCCACACAAAGACTCATCCATAGTGACAGGAAGCAGGTCCCTGACGATTCTTTACCAAGAATACAGTTTATACAGAAAACTCCTTAAGCTAACTTCTCTTTCTTGATTGGTTGTCTACATGCTAAAGATGAACTACCTCTATTTTTTTTCCACTTTCACTTAAATTTACTAAAATTACATTCAATGGTATGTTTTTTCCTTGCAATATAAAATTTCATGTACTGATCAATTTCACAATTAGAATTTCTGCCTAAGTCACATTATTGTACATCTATTATTCCTGACATGACCAGTTTTCTGGTGTCAGAGTTTTTCCATGTGTAGGTTCAGTGACTGTCAAATAATTTTCTGTAATTGTTCCTAGGAATAAGATTCATTATGAATTCTATTTTTAAAAATATTTACTATCTGCTTAACTATCCCACCAGAAAATGCTGAGTAGACCCTCAGACGCCCAGACGCCCTTAGCTGTGGGCTGACAGTATGGCCTGTCCATTTCTTCCCAGCTCCGCTTCCCCTCTGGGCGGGACTGTCTGCTCCAGGATCCGTGAGACATTTTCAGGGGTTAGAATATACACAGGGACATGAAAGCAAATCAAAGAGTCTTGCTTCACTTTATAAACATCTTCATTCATAATTTTAAAAATGAAAATTAGAACATCTATCAGATTGGCAAAGATTGATAAATTTGATATGAACCAGTGTTGCTTACATTTGAGGAAATGAGCACATTGAGGGAAGGCAAATCTGGAAAAGTAGATATTCCTTCCTAGGAAGGAGACGTGGCACTATATCTCACAAATATCCTTGCTGTGGAACATACTTTAAACAAGGTGGGCCCAGATGTGCTAATATTGAAATGTCCCTATATTTGCCAAATGAAAAAGGAAGTTATAATGTGAACAGTGAAAAAACAAGAGGGGATCAGATTATATATACATACAGCAGTCACGTGCTTGGGAAGTTTCCAGAATGTACAGGAACCCATCTCCCGGTCTCTGCAGGCTCTGTCCTGTCTATGGCCTCCCATCAGACTATTCCTTGACTGTAGGCCCTGTCTCTCCAAGAAGCAGAGCCAAGCATCAGCTGCACGTCACAAGCCCAGGACAAAATGTTCCACCTCAATGGATAGAGAAGAAATAACAGGACAGGGGTTCAGGCACTTAAGAGGAGAAAGTGTCCTGGGAGAGTCCGTCCTGAGCCCAGACAGCTCTGAACAGACGGGATGAAGCCTGTGCAGGCAGAAGGGAGATGCTGGCCCAGCGGCTCCCCCACCGCTTGTCTGCGATCTCTCCATGCCCACCTGGCACCTCAGGTGAGCACCCTGGGCCCCACACCCCCACCCACAGGCCTGCCCTGCTTTGGCTCTGGCTCAAGTCAAGGGCCGCCGGGTGAGGGCGAGGCAAGTCCTGCACTGCTTCCACCACTGTTCCTGCTCTTAGGGCCATGCGGCCTGTGACCTGGCTTCTGTCCTGCCCTGTGGCCAGGATGCTGAGTTTTGTTCAGTGTTTAGAGGATGACTAATGTCTGGCACCAGGGTACCAGGATTATATACCCAGTAGAGAGATTAAAAAACTGGCTTTAGGAGAGACAAACCAAAGCTAACAAAATGAATAATCATGCCAACTCCAATTTTAGCAATATTGGCTCTTAGCAAAGGCAGATAGAATGTGTGTTTTTGGTCAATCCAGTGTTGCCACACTTCAGAGCTATGGGCCACTCAGACCAGCATGCAGATCCTCCTTTGTGGCCTAAGCATTCCAGGGGCCATAAGTGGTCAAAGAGTGTGCACCAGAGTGCCCTTGCCCACAGGCATAAGGTTACCCACTGGCATCTTATCACCAGTTAGCTCAAAATAACGGCCCACATTTATGAGCATTTAAGAGCATGTAAGCTCTGTTCTAAAATCTTTGTGGCTATCCTCATTTCACTGTCACACAGCCCTCTGGCCATATAGCCAATCACGGGCAAAGCAGGGCTGTGCTGGGACCCAGGCAGGCTGACGATCCTTGGAAGCCAAGACTTGTGGCTGCTCTGTCAGCCCATGTTCTAGCCCCAGCAGGGCTGGACTGGCCCCTTGGGCTTCCTCACCCTGCCCTCAAGCTCCTGCGGCTTCTCTCTACCACCTGTCTTTAAACCAGAACTTAGGGCCACCTTGCCCTTGAGACACACACAAGCAGTGCAGTGAACAGCGACGGCTCAGCCGGAAGCCAGGGTGTTTCTGAGGCCTGCCATCTTTAATAGTGCAAGGGACTACTCCAGTAGTAAGGGCTTTTTCACCCTCTGGAGCGGGCCCTTGTCCTGATCCCACCGGGATTTCCTCCCAGAACTTGCAGATGGATGTGAGCCGTTCTGAGTGAGGGTGGACTCCAGCCGGGGCGGGTGGAGGAGAGGGTATCGGCCATGTAGGCTGAGCATCAGGCGGCCACTCAAACGCTGCAGCCTAGAGTCATGCCTTGGAGAGCTCCTCACCATTCTAAGGTCTGCTGCCGGGCCTTCCTATTGGTTCTGCGTAACACTTTTGTATCCTTATAACACATGAATGTCCCCTCATTGTTAAATGGCTCAAACTGGTTTCTGTCCCTTGCGATGAAAGATCTTAAATACTCCCAAATGGTAAGGAAGCCATTAAAAGTCACTCAGGGGCATCCAAAGGTACCCATGTCCCCAGTTGCTATTCATAAAAGCTTGGGGAAATAACTTTTGTAATGTGCTTGAATCCAGGAACTAACAGGGTTTGACCACAAGCCAGTAATGACTTGGACCATGTTCAATCTGCCACCAGAGCCACAAGCAAAACACAAGAGTTTTGTGGCACATAGTCGTGGTTTTGGCTGCCCAGGTGCCGTTTATCCCTTGCGTTCTGGGGAACCCACATCTCCACACAGAACCCCTCAGGGATCTGTCCCTTCATCCTGCCAGGAGAGCCCTGCCCTCCTTCCCGGTCGGCTCGCTCCGGGAGCGTCTTCCAGGGCCCACACCGTTGATCTCACGCGCAGACACGCTCACGTGAAGTGAAGGCCGTACGGGGCCCGCAGCCCGGGCCACCTGTTCCAGTCTTAGGAATCAAGACTTAGAAGGTCGCGACCGACGTTACTGCCCGCGCAGCCCGCCCCGCCGGAGGAGGAGGGGCTGTGGGCGGGCGGGGCAGGGCAGGTGGGAAGAAGTCCAGATAGCTCTTCATGCACTTTACTTTTTTAAATTAGTTTACTTTTTGTTTCCTTAGGGGTGGCGCGTTGGCTGGGTCTGTCGAGAACAGAGTCGGGTCAGGGGGCGGCGGCCCGCTCGGGGACATCTGTGGTCCCCACCTCACTGGATCCCTTCGCGCCAGAAGAGCTCCCCCCGTCCAAGGCCTCCCGGAGCTGCTGCAGACGCCGGGCAAACGAGCGCGCTCGGGGAAGTTCGGCGGCAGGCGGGGCCGGGGCCGGGGCCGGGGCGGGGGCGCAGGGCGGGGGCCGGGGGGGAAGTGGCTGAGGAACGTGCTGGGAGGCCCAAGGAGGGCGAGTGGGCGGGCGAGCGGCCTGGGGCCGGGGGGGGCGCGCCTGAGCAGCAGGGGCGGGAGGGCCAGGCAGCTGCGCTGTCTGCAAGGCTTTAGAGCCGATCTTGGAGGCAATCCAGTTCAGATAAGGCCAGGTGGCTGTGTAGACTCCGGGGCGCTTGGCGCGGGCACAGCCTGCCCCCCAGCTTGTGATCCCCACGACCACGTAGGTGTTTTCCGTGTTGTCTCTGCACATGAGCGGCCCGCCGCTGTCCCCCTGCCCAGGAGGACACGGGGTCACTGCGGGCCTGGAGCCACTTCCCCCCACCCAGAGGGCCATGGGCTCTGGGAGGCCAGTTCCTACAGTCACGTTGTCCTGCCGCCGTCAACACGGGTGCTCGTGGTAAGGTGTGAGGTAGCCTGTTTCAGCGGGGCTGGGAGAAGGCTGCCGGGTTTCCTTGCAGTGCGGAGGGAAAGAGGGGCAGTCCTACGTGTCCGTGCATGTGGCTTTATGCATACGCGAGCATGTGCCTGCGGGTGGGTCTGAACGTTTTATGTTCTGGTGAGGAAAGAAGCATTCTCTGCAGAGGCTGTTGTTTGGGTGGTAGGATGTGTGTGTTGGACAGAATCGAGTTCTACATGTGGTGATTCGTTCTTTGTAGGGACAGCCATGGGGGGTCACCTCTCATCCTCATTGTGACTAAATGCCAGAAGACAGGACCAGGGAAAGGGCCTCTAGCACAGGGCCGTGGAGATGGTGGAGCTCAGGGACCCAGTAAAGAGGTGTCCACAGGGGCCTGGGCACTGAAGGACAGTTACCTGGCAGGTGTCAACGTGGCCTTCGGGATACCCTGCGCACACATTGGTGGAATGAACACGCCCATTGTACCACTGTGTCGCGTTACATAAGCCGAGGTCGATGATGTTCACACGCGCCTCCTGCAGTACAGGTGACATCTTGCGGGCTACAGCCAGAGACTCAGCGGTCAGTGATCACGGGAGGCGGGCTCCGGAAAAGCCCTGCTCCTCCCTGCATGGACCCGCTGTCCTGTAATGCTAATGCTCTGCTTGGGTCTGAGATCCAGGCAGCCGATGCCCCTGGTGTCTCCTTGCACACTCCTCAAGGGGAGAGCAGGTGAGAGGTGGGGTGGGAGGAGCCAAGCAGGAGGGGCAGCATGGGGACAGTTGGCAGACAGTGAATGGAGAACGGATGGATGTGGCTGGAGAGGTGAGTGGCAGATAAGGACCACGGAGGTCAGTCACAGTGTTAAGTCATGACTGAGATGTGCTGAGCACTTACTAGGGGCCACCCCCTTGACCCCACACAGCAACCCCAAGAGCCAGGTTCTGTCATTCCCCTTTTCTCCGGTCAGGAGGCTGGAGCATAGGGTACGCTGCAGCTCCCATTCAGACCCAGCTTTTCCTCATAACAGGAACCCCCTGTTCCCCATAGTCTGGCTATCAGCCACCCTCCCTGCCTTCTACCTCCTGCCAGATCTCTGCTCAGCTGGATCTGGGCTGCTGAGTCCCTCCCTCCGCAAGTGCTTCAGATCTGCTTCAAGGAGACCATATAAAAGGAAGTGTGGCCCCCATGTTCCCCAGATGGGCACGGGTGGCTGAAATGACCCTGAAGCCATGCCAGACCTTCCCTCACAGCCCCCAATGCTGTCACAACCTTTGAGTTAGGAAAGGCCTGGCCTAGGCTGTAGCTTGAGCAGCCCACACAGCACCTTGCTTAGACAGGGCCCGAGACCAATGCATGTCCCTCCTCCCCAGGTGTCCCCACGTCAGAAGGGTCCCCCACAGCCTGGCCACAGACTCGTGAGTGCACTTGAACATCTCCAGCAGAATAAACAGGGAGCTGACAGGTCAGACTAAGGAAGGGGCAGCCCCAGGACATGGCTGTAGAGGCCAGGTGGGAAGGCAGGAACTGCATGGGCAACGTGCGTAAGGCCCGCACACTGCGGGCGCTTGGCAAACAGCTGCTGAATGCGTGTCTGCATGGCTTTGACTGTGGTTCCAGTCCCTTGAGGGGGGCCTTTCCTTCCCAACCAAGCAGCAGAGAGAGTTTTGTACAGCACGGCGCTTGAGGTAAGGGTGGCTCTGGCAAGCCGGGCCACTTAAGGTGACCTTTTAAATCTATAGCAGAGCCTACAGTCTTGAAAGCAGCAGGTTTCACTGTTAAGAGCCAGATGTCCTGAAACAGAAAAGGGTTTTTTCAATCCTAACACCTGGCTTTAAATAACAAATACTAAAAAAGCCTGCAGGAGCTCAAAATTAAATGGAAAAGGCGGAGACCTTCCAGTTACTCAGGGCCTTCAAGTTCAAGGCGTGTGGTAGAAGAAAGAAGAATGTCACAGGAGTCTGGAGCTTGAGGGTTTCTTTAAGACTCGGCCTTAGGGGTGAGGGATGTTTGCCAGAAAATGATAAAATTCCCATTAGATTTAGGGGCATTCTAAGACCAAAGAGGCCTTGTATGCTGTCCAGCGTCTGAGCAGTGGGGTGGGGAGGGCTCTAGATGTGAGCCCTGAGATCAGCACCCCGGGGACTATAAAAAGCCCCAGAAGATGTGGACATGGTCGGCAGAGGGGTGGAGCAGGCCAGGCCAGTGGGTGAGACAAGAACAGCACCGTACAGGCCACAGCAGAGCCACCGACATCAACAGCAAGACAGAGGTCGACACCCCAGGCCAGGGAGGGAAAGTCATGAATCAGCAAAGGCACGGGGAGGAGAGGCCCTTTCCTGAGTGACAGTAAAGAGGGCAACCCTACCAGAAATTTAGACCAACCTGGGAGAGAAGGGAAAAAGAGTTAAGAATCCTGAAATTACTGATTTTTTTGTTATCAAAAAAGGCTGAGTTTTAAACCCCAAATGACTGAACTGCCTTGAATTAGGAAGCCTAAATTTTCCATTATTAAAGAACAGAAGAGATTGTGAGCTAGGTTAATTTCAATCATATCTCCTCATCCCTAATGAGATGGTAAGATTCACGTGAGCACCTATAGGGAGCTGAAAGGGCAGCTCACAGGGAGAAGCCTGACCCCACTTGGTCTTGTCCTGGCTGCCCAAAGCTGACCCGCAGGAAACCACACCACCCCGGCCTGCGGAGAGTGCCGAAGTGACTCCTCCATGCGGTGCCTGCCCTGCTGGGAGCTGAGGGCTGGGCTCTGGGATCTCAGAGCTTAGAGGCCAGGACCTGGCCCTTCCATTCACAGATGGGAAAACTGAGGCCAGAGGGCGTGGGCTGGCCCACAGCCATAAACCCCATCCAGAGTTCTTCTCCAAGTGCTGTTTCCAGCATGGGGCACCTGGGGCTCTAGGGCCCAGATACAGACACAGCCTTGACTCCACTCTAAAAATGCCACGGCACTCCTCTGTCCGTCATTTGGCCTTCCGTGAGACGGCCACACTAGTCACCAGCCGTGGCTAGTGACTCAAGTCTGTTTCCCCTGCAGTAATGGGACAGTGACAGGACCTGTTCACAGCACCACGACGAGGACTGAGGAGGTGCTCACCTAGGCATCAGTATGTCACCCCCTCGCCCCAAAGACCACCAAGGGAATGACCAGCAATGTCCCCCCATGGGAGGCCCCTCCTGTACTCACCATTCTCTTTTAGGAATCCCCAGCCAGCCACCCAGCAGGCCTGGGAAACTCTGGGTGGGCCTGCCCTGAATCGGGGCAGGCAGCCAGGTCCAATGAGGGGCCCACATGGGACAGGAGGGGTGATCTTCATGAGAGCAATGTCATTTATCTCCGAACGGGGGCTGTATCTCTCATGCGTGATGATCTTCTCCACGTATCTCTCCTGCAGAGGCGGCCTGGCTGGTTTCTCGTTCCCGTACACAATTTCTCTGGTTCCAAAAATCAGTCTCCAGTTGTCCACTTCTCTGCGGGTGCAGAGGGAAGCCAGGTCATCTTCCCTGTGGACTGGCTGCACGGAGACCTCTGGTTGCTGCGAGGCCCAGAGTCCCAGGAGACTGCACAAAGCCCCTCGGAGAAGAGCCTTTCTCAAGACCTCCCCTGTGAATCCCTCACTTACTTGTTGACCCTGAAGCAGTGAGCGGCAGTGAGCAACCAGTGGGAATTCAGCAAGGTGCCTCCGCATGCGTGATACCTCCGGTTATTGTGGGCCGTGAAGACCTGAAGGCTGACCACCCAGGGCCAGGCCCCCTTGGCCGCATCCTGCCCTCCGACGATGCGGACGTTCCATGGTGAGCTCTGCCTGAACCGTAACCCACAGGGGCCGCTGAGGAGAGACCACGGGCACAGTGCAGACCCAAAATAAGCTCGGCCTGTCCTTGCACAGCCTGGGAGAGTCAGGGGTATGGGGCTGGTAAATGTGGGCAGGGCTGTGGGGTCCTGGGAGAGTGGGGGTAGCCTGGACTGTGTGGGGTCAAATGGGAAGATGCTAAGGAGGGGCGCTGGGGACCAGGTTTGAGGGGCACAGTGTGGGGAGAGGGGTGCCATAGGAAGCTAGGACAAACTGCAAGGCCCCAGAAATACGGGCAGTCCTGGGCAGAGGGGGAGGCTGTAGGTGGGGGAAGAGAGGTGTAGTGGCCTGAGGTCTGCAGAGCAGATCTTGGGTGGGAGACTCAGGGAAGAGACACGTGTTCTTGGAGCTGCAGGGTCGGGTTGGACAGTGACAGGTGGAAAGAGTGTAGCCGCAGGTGGGCACAGCACCCAGGTATGGGAGGCCCACAGGTGGAAGTCCTGGGAACTGTGCTGCTGGTGAGAGGCCAAAATAGTTGGGGAGTTGCTGGCACTGTGGGCTACCTTGGGGAGCAGGTGGAGTGAGGGCCCAGAGGCATGGCATGGTGACAGCCTGGGGCCCTTGGGGTCAGCCAGGGGTTAGGGTATCTCAGCACCTGGTGTCCATGAGGCAATGAGGTAGATCGCTGGGCAGGAAAGGGGCCCAGGAGCTGAGGGGTCTGTCTCAGGAGGAAGCTGTGATGCTGGGAGCAGGGGAGGGGTCAAAGGGCTGAGACCCAGGGGACTGGGAGGGGCCGAGCTTGGCCTCTTCCCTAGCCCCAGACAGAGGGTGTCGGGGGTACCTACCACTCACAGGACAGCCTCCCTCCCGCCGAGGCATGCCTGCACTTACTCACACGAGTCCTTCTCTCTGGCAAACACAGACACTGCCAAGACCAGAACAGCAGTTGGCAGCAGCATCTTCACTAACTCCCGCCCAACCTGGCGTGGAAGCCGGTGACCTCACAGAGCTCCAGGCCTCTGGCCAATCAGCAGGGCAGCCTCACACCCCCGCCCGCAGCAGTCATCAGGGCAGGAGGCTCAACTGAGTGGGTCCCTGCCTGGGGAGCAGCCCCTTCCTCCGTCCCAAGGCCAGGACCTTCATTCCTGGTACTTTGGTTACCTGCCACATTCCCGCCTTGCCCGAGGTTCTGCTTTGTGTTCAGGATTCCCCACGCACGCAGGCTGTGACCACTGTCCACTCAGACTGGATGGTGCAACACGGCAGCACATAAAGGGAGCCAGGCCCAGCTGATTGGTAGATGCTTAATATTGTGTGGCAGACCATCTTTCCCTCTTCCAAGTGTAGACTGTCAGCATACTTTCTTTTTTTTTTGGTATTATCATCTTTATTTTAAAGTGGGGTAAACTGAGTGTCATGTTTACTTACTGGATTAAGATGACATAGTGGTGAAGACAGGATCGGAACTTTTGACTACTTTTTTTTTTTTAATTTTTTATTAAGGTATGATTGATATACACTCTTATGAAGGTTTCATGTGAAAAAACAATGTGGTTACTACATTTACCCATATTATCAAGTCCCCACCCATACCCCAGTGCAGTCACTGTCCATCAGCACAGCAAGTTGCCAGACATCCACTATGTGCCTTCTCTGTGATACGCTGTTCTCCCCATGACCCCCCACACTGTGTGTACTAAACATAATGCCCCTCAGTCCCCTTCTCCCTCCCTCCCTCCCACCCCTCCCCTTTGGTGACCACTAGTTCATTCCTGGAGTCTCTGAGTCTGCTGCCATTTTGTTCCTTCAGTTTTGCTTCACTGTTACACTCCACAAATGAGGGAAATCATTTGTCTTTCTCCACCTGGCTTATTTCACTGAGCATAATGTCCTTCAGCTCCATCCATGTTGTTACAAATGGTAGGATTTGTTTCTTTTTTATGGCTGATAGTATTCCATTGTGTATATGTACCACCTCTTCTTTATCCATTCATCTACTGATGGACACTTAGGTTGCTTCCATTTCTTGGCTATTGGAAAAAGTGCTGCGATAAACATAGGGGTGCATCTGTCTTTTTGAATCTGAGAAGTTGTATTCTTTGGGTAAATTCCAAGGAGTGGGATTCCGGGGTCAAATGGTATTTCTATTTTTAGTTTTTTGAGGAACCTCCATACTGCTTTCCACAATGGCTGAACTAGTTTACATTCCCACCAGCAGTGTAGGAGGGTTCCCCTTTCTCCGCATCCTCACCGGCATTTGTTGTTCTTAGTCTTTTTGATGCTGGCCATCCTGACTGGTGTGAGGTGGTATCTCATTGTGGTTTTAATTTGCATTTCCCTGATGATTAGTGATGTGGAGCATCTTCTCATGTGCCTGTTGGCCATCTGGATTTCGTCTTTGGAGAACTGTCTCTTCATATCCTCTGCCCATTTGTTAATCGGGTTATTTGCTTTTTGGGTGTTGAGGTAAGTTCTTCATATATTTTGGATGTTAACCCCTTGTCAGATATGTCATTTACAAATTTATTCTCCCATACTGTAGGATGCCTTTTTGTTTTGTTGATGATGTCCTTTGCCGTACAAAAACTTTTTATTTTGATGTAGTCCCATGAGTTCATTTTTGCTTTTGTTTCCCTTTCTGGAGGAGATGCGTTCAGGAAGAAGTTGCTCATGCGTATATTCCGGAGATGTTTGCCTATGTTGTCTTCTAAGAGTTTTACGGTTTCATGAGTTACATTCAAGTCTTTAATCCATTTCGAAGTTTAACTTTTGTGTGTGGGGTTAAGCGATGATCCAGGTTCATTGTCTTGCATGCAGCTGTCCAGTTTTGCCAACAACAGCTGTTGAAGAGGCTGTCAGCACACTTTCAAAGAGCCGTTTTGAATCTACCTGACTCAGGATCACAAAGTCCACCCCCTGAGTGTCACAAGGTCTCACCTTCCCCACCTCAGGGTCTCCAGTTCCCCTCTGGGACCTACATGCAGACTTGAGTGCCAGGAATCCTCACTGCAGTTACTTGAATATCATGAAGAATCATTTTTCTGTCAGGAAGGAGAGTCTCACCTGTCAAGAGTATGACAAATGCCCACCTCACGACTTAAATATTAAAAGGTCTCACCTCCCCTACAAGAGCGGGAGTCGCATTCTCTACCTGATGAAAGTCGGTCTCACCTCCTCGACCTGAGTGTAAGACCTCAACTAGCCCGAGGGTCACAAGGTCCCACCTCTCCTACCTGAGGGTCAGGACACCTCATGTTGTCTTCCTGCGTGTTACGAGCTTTCAGACTTTCAGGGGATCTCCATTCCTCTACTTTGGTATCGTCTCTGATGAATGTCCTGCCTCCTCATCTGACTTTCAGGACACACACCCCTCGACTGAATACCCAGTAGGTCTTGTATCTCTTACCTGAGTAGCAGGGGGCCATCACCTTCTGAATATGAGGATGTCTCTTTTCTTCCAAGTCAGGGCCAAAGGCCTCATCTCCACCACCTGAGTGTCACCTTGTCAAGTCTTCTCTACCTAAGAATCAAGCGGTCTTATACCCTCTGCCCAAATGTCGAGTGGTCGCCTCGTCCCTGCCGGAGTGCTCTGAGGTCCTAGCTGCCACGCTGGACTGACGGGAGTCCTCATCTCCTCCCTGAGCATCATGGGCTTTCATCTTCTGTACCTGAGCATCGCAAGATCTCTTTGTGAACATCCAAAGTTCTAATCTCAGCTGCCTGTCAAAGATTTCACCTCCCCTGCCTGGGTGTCTTGGGGTCTCATCCCCCCTTCCTGCGGTCATGAAGGCTCCTCTCTTGAACGCAAGGCGGTCTTAGAGGCCCTACCTGAGTGTCGAGAGATCTTGTCTCCACCTGTCAGGGCTCATCTCTTCTGCTGTGTGTCTAGAGGTCCCATCTTTTCACTCTAAGTGACTGAAGGGCCTCATTTCCCCTGCTGACTGCTCAGCATTTCCATCTCTTCTACCTAATTGTCAGGAAGTCTCATTCCCTCTACAGGATTGTCCAGGGACCCCACCTCACATACCTAATTGTCAAGAAGCTCCCATTTTCTCTACATGAGGGTCCCCCTAGATCTACTTTCCCTGCAGGTCAGAAGGTCTCATCTCTCCATTACTGGGCCAGAACATCTCATCTTTGTCACGAGGGAATGACGAGGCCTATACCCCCAAGCGGCAGGATGACTCAACTCCTTTACTTGAGGTTTGGTGTGCATTATTTCCCTTCCTGCCAAGCAAAAGGTTTTCTTCCCTCTTGATGAATGCCATCAGGTCTCAAGAATACCAACTATTTGAACGTCATGAGATTTTTTTTTTATCTCCGCCACCTGCATGTTGCTGCTTGGGTGTAAGGAGACTGTCTCCCCTCAGCCAGTTTCAGGGTCTCGGGTCTTATCTGAATGTTAGGCTCTCTTACTTCCTGCACCTGACTGTCATAGGACTTGTTTCTTCTCAGTTTCAGGAGCATTCTTCCCCCTTTGTATCTTTTCACTGTTTTTTCATCTTCTTACCCTTGGGTCAGGTGGCGTCGCCTCCTCTGCCTAATCAGTCAGGGGCCCCATTTCACCTACTGCATGTTTGGAGGCCTCGGTTATTTTACTGAGTGTCAGATTGTGCCTGATAATCACCAGGAAGATGATTTTGGAAATACAGTTCAAAAAACTGCAACAAGAATTCAACAAGTAATATTAAAGTTTTGACTGTTAAAGAAAATATCTGTTCACATACTTTCATTGGATTTTGATGGGCATAAAATTGATGTATTTGGGTCCATGAGAACCATTTAACAGAATGATGTAAGTATTTAAGTGTTATTATGTATAATTTTCTGGAAATCACAACCTTTGTTTTGTTTAGATATTTTAACATATGTTGAAAATGTTAGACATAAGCTTCAAAATGGAAATTAGTATCTAGTTTATCAAGACATTTAGAGGCTATACAGTAACAAAATTTGAAGATCCAATGTCCGGAGTCTAGAAGACAATCACTGTTGGGCTCTGCAGAGTAACACCCACTTCTGATCCTAGAAGGGGCTGCCAGGCATAGTGCCTGCCCCACAGCTGCGGGAATTGAGGGATGGGTTGAGAGACAGGCACATGGCTCACCCAGGTTCGGTTTTCTCATCAGACCTAATCGAAGCAGCTAACATCTCAACAAGTGACTTCGTTCACCTTCTCCATGCTGTTCCCAAAATACGAGGGAGGAAGATAGGAAGGCACAGGACAGGGAGGACGGAGTCCTAAAGGCTACTGGGGGTCCCAGTAACTCAAGCCAAGGGAAGTTCCCAGCAGAGGGAGCGGGGTCAGGGGTTCCCCATCCGACTCCCCCTCTTCTCCCCTCCCCCAACTCCTGCATGGCCCCAAGCTTAACCCCCAGCCTCCTCTGGGCTGCCGTCACTCAGCCCCCGCCTCGCCGACGCAGCCCCCTCTGCTGCTGCTGCACCTCCTCCTGCCTGTCCCTCTGGTCCAGACCTGGAGGACTCTGAGATCAGGAGATGTCCTGAGGCATGCAGGTGTCTTCTGGCCTGTGGAGACAGTCATCTTCTCCCCCAGATACCCTGGGAACCAGAGTGGGCAGTGCCATTTGCCTGGAAGGCCGGCTCCCACCATCCTAGCTCTTCCTTCAGTCACCCAAAGCTTTGGTCCCAGCCCCAGAAAGACCCAGGGCTCCGTGTGCCCAAGACCCCCAGGGCTGGAGTGCTCGGGCCCAGGGCAAGTCAGTCCCACCTCCACCCCCACACTCAGGCTCCCCCGGGGCTCCTTGCCTTGGCCTGTCCTGTCCTTCACAGCCCCTTCGATATGAGGACCACAGTTTCTAACTTGAAAATGAAAGCAACAAGTTTGAAAAAGTTGCAGATTTGAACGTGGGACTTTCTAGATAGACTGCAAGCCTCTCAATGTCTCGGGGCTCCCAACCCGGCCAGCCAGACCTTCTTCGCTTCACTCACCCTCACCTCTGGCTCCCCACCCTCTCTGGGTGAAGAGCCCAAGTCCACCCCTCTCCTGCCCACCAGGCTTCACTCCACCGACCAATCTCACTCCCTCTGGGATGGCCAGGCTCTCACCGGCCCCCACCGATCCAGCAGTAGCTGGAGTCAGGTCTGTGCTTGTCGCGTTACATTCGCACGTGGCCAG